AGCAGCCGATCAAGGTGACGGAGTGGCAGCAGACCTACACCTACGACTCGGGCATCCACTCCGGCGTCAACACCCAGGTGCCCTCCGTCAGCAGCAAGTGCCTCGGGGACGATGACGAGGTCTACGGGAAGCAGTACACCATCAAGAAGACGACCACCACAAGTTACTGCCAGGGAGGCAGCCAGGGCCAGAGCCAAGCGCAAGGTAGGGGCTGCGGGGCCGGGCACGTCCGTGAGCTCGGCTGCTTGGTTCCTGCCTTCCTCCACCTCCCCCGAGAGCTGCGCTCCTTCTGGGCGCTCCTCCACGCTGCCTTCCACACCCCGGGAGTTGTTGCTGCCTAAAATATGCTCCCTCCTGTCCTCCTTCCCTGCGCCAAGAGGCTCTTGCGTAGGGGCGGCGCGCAGCCAGCCCGCACCAGTGCTGAGCTGTGCACACACATCCGAGCGCGCCGGTGGGTTGGCTCGCGATGGGAACAGCTGATCCCGGCCCACGGGGCGGCCGTCTGCTCTGCTGCCTGTCTGCCTGCTCGGCAAACCTGTCTCAGCGCGGCTGGCAGAGCTGCCAGCGTGTGCCGTAAAGCCCCTCCGGCCGCCCCGGCTTCTCCCGCTGCTGCGAGGGCGAAGCGGAGAGAGACGCAGTCCCCAAAGCCAAAGGAGATGCTTCCCTCGACTGTATGCCTTAAAAGAGGGCTGGTTTGCTCCACTCGCCCCTGCGGCTCCCCTGTCAGCGATGGGCCCTGGAAGGTTTAATCGCAGAGCCCCGTGGAGAGGGACGAGCCCTCACCAGCGGTCCCTGTGCCGCAGAGGTGGGGACCACGGGTGGCTGCTGCCGCACCTCTGCGCCCCCGGTTGCACTTGTCCCGGCATCCTCGACGGGGAAGGCCTCCGTGTCCTTCTCCTAATCCCCAGTGCCAGCTGGTCCCAAGTTGCAAATATCCTTATTTTTTAATTAATGGGCCTTGTGTGACAACTGCCTAATCATGCCGCCTAATTGAGCGTTGTCTTATCTCTGTGCTGCCGTATCTGTTTATACTTTGAAGCACCGGCTCCTCGCAGAGCGTGCTGAGCGCCCAGCACTGCTGACGTTGCTGGTGGTGTCGCTCGAAGCTCTTGCTCAGCTAATTGAAATTGGAAAGCAGGGCTGGGAACGCTCCTCGGAGACCGCCCGAGTCTAAGGCTGTCTCCCCATCTACTCCTGCAGCGGACATGGAGGCTCAGCTGGCCATGACCCGGGCCCAGCGCGTCCGGGCTGCCATGTACCCCGAGACGGTGGAGGACCGCTCCCTGCTCATCACCACCCAGCTGGAGGGGCAGCAGACCAACGTGCAGCGCCTGGCAGAGCCCTCGCAGATGCTGAAATCGGCCATCGTGCACCTCATCAACTACCAGGACGACGCCGAGCTGGCCACCCGCGCCATCCCGGAGCTCACCAAGCTGCTCAATGACGAGGACCCGGTAAGGAAGCGTGGTTTGCCTGCGCGTGTCTCTGGGCTTTCAGCTCCCGAGCTCGTGGGGCGCGCTTCCCCAGCTGCGGCAGCGCAGGCGGGCTCCCATCCTTGCGGCGCTCCGTGGCCGCCGTCCAGCTCCTTCCTCTTGCCCGAGCTCTGCGGTTGCCTCCTCCCCGCAGCAGGGCTGAGCCCGCCTCTGCCCACCCGCGTCTCCCCGCAGCCTGTCCTCGCAGCTCGGACGCGGCTCTCCTGCCCTGGCCCTGCACAGACACTGAGCGCTTCTTGCGGGCTCTGGGTGCCCCCTGCCCTCCCCCTGCCCGTCCCTGCAGCGCGCCTGTGCTCCGTCGACCCGACTGCGTGCTGCCCGCGGCTGCGACCCGCAGCATTGCTCCTGGAGCATCGTGGATGAGGATTGTTAAAAATAGCAGTCCTCGCCTGCGCCGCTGTGCCGGCTCTGCCCCTCCAACGCCGCCCTGCCCGGCACGATG